TATACTAAAGCCCAGGATGTGGTAAGAGGGTGGTTTAGATTAAGGCACAAACTGAAAGTTTTAGTGAAGTCATTTAAACCTCAGAGATAAAATGTGTTTAGTTGTGGAAAGAACATTGGTTTGGGAGTTAGATCAGAATCCAATGGTTCACTGTCTGGATGACCTTAAAAATAATTTGTTTCACCTTATTTAACATTTTCCTGGCAGATTAGAATGAGAAAAAATATATTTAAAGCAATAAAGTAGAATAGGCATTCAGAAAAGTGGTAACTTTTATCATGTATGCTAGGGAATCCTCTTTTATTGGAAGACCAAAACTCTGATTAATGTGCATGAAAGTTATGGCTAGGAGCCTCTAATCAGTTTTGCATCAGAAACAACTTCTATTCTACAGAGAAGGGAAGGCTATGGTTTTAAGTAGAAATTATTTTGGTCTAAAGGAAAATTGTTTTTGTTTATCCCTCATAATGAACTTTTTTTTTTTTTCTTGTGGCATTGGGGATTGAACCCAAGGTGTTCTATCAATGAGCTACATCCCCAGCCTTTTTTGGTTTTTATTCTGAGACAGGGTCTCACTATATTGTTGGCTGACCTTGAAGTTGTAATTTTCTTGCCTCAGCCTCTTGAGTTGCTGAGTTTACTGGTATGCACTACAATACTCCACATGTATATTAACTTTTGCAGTCATCTGAGGTCTTGGCCTAATGAAAAGTGACAAATGGTTTACTGGCTCAAAACAAATATTTGTTGAGCACCCGCTACTCTTTTTAATTTTTTTTTAGTTGAAGATGGATACAATATCGTTATTTATTTATTTTTATGTGGTGCTGAGGATGGAACCCAGTGCCTCATATGTGCAAGGCAGGCACTCTACCACTGAGCCCCAGCCCCAAGGATCTGCTACTCTTAAGAGTCAAATAATTTTTAACTGTTATTGACACTCTGCATAGAACATATTTCAKATCTTAGCTCTTCTGAGTGCTTTCTTTCTTTCCTCCTTCAGGAAACCCTCCTGAAGCTTGTCTTAATATTGGGCTAATACTTACTTAGCTCCCGGTGCACCCTGTCATAGCACTTGCCTCAACCAATCCGCAAGCTTCTCTTCTTCCCTTTCCTTCCTGAAAGCTTCTTGAAGGCACAGGGTTCTTTGTAGCCCCCATCCTTAGTATAGTGCCTGCATTCAAATTGTTATTGATCTGATTGTGTAACACATGATGTTCTCAAAATGTCTGAAATATGTAAGATTCAGGGAAGGCTTTCTGGAAAAGGTAATATTTAAGTTGAGACTTAGAAAAAGATAGCAGGTAGGTGCAGGTAGAGCAGCAGGAAAGCATGCCAGGAACCACACATAGTTTGGATGAGYTGAAATGTGGGAGATGCAGAGGGGTAGTGGGTGAAGCTGGAGTACAGGCAAGGGCTAGCTGCATATGACTGTCTTAAATGGCAGCTAAGAAGATTGGATTTTATCCCAAAGATAATGGGAGTCTTTATGCAGGAATGTTTTGAGGGTGATATTATATACAGCTATTAGAGAGAAATTGGTTAGGAGTTTTATATATAAGCCAATTAATCAGACCCTAGCAGTTACTCTTAATGCCTTTTATGGTCTTACCCCCTTTTTCTMAGACAAGAATGGTTCACTCCAGAGGTACCTTTGCCTTGTGTGCCTCTGGAAGAGCTGTGGCTGTGCGATGCAAGCAGACCTTGCAGCATTACATAGCTCATCCAGTTCCTGGGGGTGGGTGTCTGGTCCTGTTAGGCAGAAGGTGCAGCTTTTATATTTCTGTTCTACAGAGAGAGTTGGATAGCAGGAGACCCTTGGTATAAATGCTTAGACAGCATTTACTGGGTTTCAGTACTAAATCTGCAATGGGGGCATTGGAGAAGTTATATCACCTCTGTGAACTTCATCTGTGAAATGGAGATAATACAGACTGGTGCTTTTTCAAGAATTGAATCAGCAGGGTGCAGTGGTTTATGTCTGTAATCCCAGCAGCTCAGGAGACTGAGGCAGGAGGATTGTAAGTTTAAAGCCAATCTCAGTGACTTAGTGAGGCCCTAAGCAACTTAGTGAGACCCTGTCTCAAAATAAAAAAATGAAAGGGCTGGGGATGTAGCTCAGTGGTTAAGCGCCCCTGGGTGAGGAGGGGACACAATTGAATTGGATGATGATGGTGATGATCACAATAATGACCATTTAGTAAGTATCAATTGTGTTTCAGGCCCTGTGCCAGGTACATCATTAACTAAATATATTTGTATAAAACTCCATGGTAGGTAATCAGTAAACATTAGATTACTCCCCAACCTGCTCCTGATTGTTGTACTTCCTACAGTTTGTCAGTAGCTGATAGATTACCTTAGCGCTGTTTTCCCAATGATTTTATTCCCACAAATTGACAGAGTGAAACTAATGGACAGTTAATTTAAGCCAGGAAGCAGCCAGTGAGTTATTTCCAACATCATTTAATTAAGGAAGTACTTGGGACTTTGAAATCTATGGTACTTTAACCAAATTATAATTTTAAAACAATTAGCCCTTGAACTTAATTTTTAGGTTCAGGATCTTGGGCTGCTTTAGAAACCAGATGGAGTTGTTGCCTGGACTACGACCTTGTTTACATACTATTTAGATGTTGGCTCTTCTTCTGACCAAATAATCATAATAACCTTCTGAATAAAAGTTCTGTTTAATGGACAAAATATGAAATATATAAGGTTGAACAAGCKTTTGGAATGAGTTATATTGTCCCTATGTAGAGCTTCACAGGTTTCTTTTTATTTCTTTTCTTCTTTTTTTTTTTTTTTCCCAGTACTGGGGATTGCACATCCTAGACAAGCACTTTTTCACTGAGCTACGTCCCCAGCTCTTTTTAAATTTTATTATTTTATTTATTTTTCATACAACAATTATTTGTTTTTCTATCATTCTATATCCTACCACGCGGCCTGCGCAGTGGTTTCATTAATGAGGTTCTAGGCATAAAGTTAGTTAGAAGAGATCGAAATAAAAACACAAGACTCAATTACCTTATTTTTATTGCTAGGTCCGAGACGGCTCCCCTCTCTGGTTCGCTCCTCTAGCCGCCCAGCAGGGCAGCAAGGATTACTCAGGGCTAGCAGGAGAGAGAGAGAGAGCACGCCGGGGACTAGCCTTTTATTAGGGAACAAGAGATTCAGGGGAGAATTCYATCCAATGAAGGTTGAGGGGGGGCTGCACTCCAAGGTCAGGGTCAGTGATTGGGTCCCCTGGGTCAGTGGTCAGGCACACCCCCACACGGATGGGCTCTCTCATCAGGAAAGGGTCGGGGAAAACTTCGACTTTTGCCAAAGTGCCTCAGACCCTTAATGGGAGGCACCCGATCACGTGTTAGAATGGCTCCCCACACTATATGTCTAAACAGGGTGGAATTGGGAGGGATTTTTAGTATAGTCAATGAATCGAGGACAACATGGGTTTCATCTTGACACATGCTCACAACAAGAACAGGTGAAAAAAATCAGAGAAGTAGTGAATCACCTACTGGCTCCTAAATCTTAATACATGGCTTCTCTTTCTCAGTTTCAGCCTTAAATTGATTTATTTTGAAAATGTAATCAGGCATGGTGGTTATTGTTTATCTCTGTAATCTCACTGACTCAAGAGGCTGAGGCAGGAAGATCTCAAGTTTGAGGCCAGCCTCAGCAACTAAGCATCTTACTGAGACCCTGCCTCAAAATAAAAATATAAAAGAGGGCTGGGGATGTGGCTCAGTGGTAAATTGTCCCTGGATTAAGCCCCCAGTACTCCCCCMAAAAATAAATAAATAAAAATTAAATGTAAAGCCATTTACCTATTTCAGAGTTATCTAGGTGAAGTGACTTATGTCACTTCTCACATTTCATTGGCCCAAACAAGTCATGGGGTCATGCCTAACTTCAAAAAGTGGGGAAGGGCAACTATTTGTATTCAGAGAAGGAAGAAGACTTTTTATTCTTGTTATTGCACCATTTCAGTTTGTCCTTTATTGACAGCAGTCTTTTCCATAGCTTGATTAAAGTAGTATCAGCCAGACTTCTCCACTGTAAGATTTTTTACCCCTTCACATGAATAAATATACTATAGAAAGTTACTTTGAAACTATATAAAACTTCCATTCTTCATCAAAATTTTACTAATTAATTAATATCTGAACAGGTTCACAATTTTAGATTGGATCTCACTAAGTTGCCTAATCTGGCCTTGAAYTTGTGATTTTCCAGCCCCAAAGGATATAGGCATGGACCATCACATCTGACCCCTGGCAGATTTCTGATAATATAGGGCCTTAACTTTGTCTGAAGTGAATGAAAATGCCCCTCAGTCTTCAGTAACTAYACCCTTCTCACTATATCCTTTTTCTTTTTCCTTCTTTGTGGTGGTTTTAGTTAATCAGATCCTTTTTGACAACATAAAGCGCSGATTAAAACTAATTCTGTAGCAATCCTAGGATTATGGACTCAGGAGAATAAATCTTGGGATGACTTTGAGATGATTTCAGTTAAGTTTCATTCTGAAAAAAGCAGCAATGGGAGAGGCAGCTCTGAGCTTGGGTTATTGTTTATCTCTCCTTCCRCAGGATCAATTTGTATGAGTATCACAGTCCATTGTGAATATGRTGCATGAGGGATTGTTACTGGAAAGCATAATGGGTTGCTGGCCGCAGTGATTATGCCTGAAAACTGGCTGGAGTCCTGGGTCTAGCCCTGTCAACAGAGCGAAATTCAAGGAGAGGAGGAATGACAATAATTTAAGCACTCATCTCCTTTTCTATMTCTCCAGTGCCATCTAAATCACAGGGTAGCTTATCCCTAGAGATTAGCATAAAATTAGAGGGTATGGCCTGTACCAGCTTCCTTCTCTCTTTCCTTAAAATCTCCTTCTTCTGGATATAGATTGTTCACCATACTACGACCTCTCATGCGATAGGGGATAAGACTAATATGCTACCTTTCCCTCATTTCCACTTTTTATTTTCCAGCAACAGCTCCAGGCCTATGTGGCCTGGGTGAATGCACAGCTGAAGAAGAGGCCATCAGTGAGGCCTGTGCAGGACCTGCGACAGGATCTCCGCGATGGGGTGATCCTGGCATATCTCATCGAAATTGTTGGTCAGTTGGCCCTGGACTCTGATGTTATCATAGATTTTTATCCTTCCTATGCCCTTTGACGCAGGTTGATTCTTTAGAATATATAGCAGTGGAAGTAGAGAAAAAAATACTTGCCAAACTTTTTTTTTCTTTTTTAAAATTTTTTCATTTGTCCTTTTTAGTTATACAAGATACTTGGCAAAACTTAAATCATTTCTTCATTGGTCAATACTRTGTACTAGGCACTGTTTCTAAGTTTGGGAACATAATGAATGCAGTCTGTGTTCTCAGGAGTCTCTCAATCTAATTGGAAAGTCTGGAAAGTGAAGTCAGTTCCATTAATGTGCTTGGTGCTTTGATGGGATGAACACAGAAAGAAGTGCATAGAAGGGACACCCTTCCCAGTCTGAGGGGTTCAGGGATGGCTGACCAGAAGAATTCATGTCTTCATGTCTAAACTGAAGCCTGCCAAAAGAATTGACTTCTGCTGGGTGTTGTGGTGCATGCCTATAATCTCAGCAGCTTGGGTTCAAAGCCAGCCTCAGCAACTTAGCAAGACCTTGTCTCAAAGTAAAAAATAAGTAGGGCTGGTTATGTGGCTAAAGCCCAATGATTAAGTACCCCTAGGTTCAATTTCTAGTATGTATAAATAGATACATAGATAGATAGACATTTAAATGGACGCCTTCCAGAAGAACTGATGTCTAAACCAAGACCAGAAAAGGAAGTAGTAGCCAGGCAAAATGAGGATGTTACCAGCAAAACACTCCTTTCTAATACTCACTACATAAAAGGGTTTTTGCTCTTGAAACCCTGGCACCATTTTTACTAGATGTTACTGTAATTTTATGTCCATAGCTCTGCAATTGTTTTTACTTTTATGTGGTTCCAGGGATCAAACCCAGTGCCTCACTCATGCTAGACAAGCACTCTACCATTAAGCMACAATCCCGGCCCTGCAATTGTTTTTCTTACCAAATGGTAATTACTTGTGGTAATTGTTTATTTATCTACCTTTCTTCTGTAAAGACTGAACTCTTTAAGAGAATGCACAGTATCATTTTTTTTCTATTTCCACAACCTCTAACCATGGGGACCTAGTAGGTACTCAAATATTTATTGTTGTATTAGTCAATGGACCATGCTTAGAGTCCTTGAGGGCTGTAGGGCTTACGAGTGGTATGGAAGAAGCAAAGTTTGCAACAGGCATTATCTTGTTGGGAAAGCTGGTGAATTCATCAGCGCATTTATTTGTAATGATAATAACAACGCCAATACTAATAGCAGCTRCCAGGATTAACCTCTTTCTATCTTGTTTAATTTCTTGTGCTGGGGCTCTAACCCTGAGCCTCTCATATGCTAGAAGTACTCTTCCACTCAGCTACATCCTCAGCCCTTGAACCCTACTTTCCACTGTGACTTTGCTATATAGAAATAACCTCAAGTTATCTCCCTAAATTTGTATGGTTAGYCACTAACTTTCCCTTGAGTTGAAGATATGAATATTCAGCTTCTTATTCAGCATCTCTACTTGGTGTGCACATGTCTTAATCAGAATTTTGATTTTCTCCTTTCACTGATCCCTTTCTAAGTTTTTTCATCTAAGGAATATATTACATTGCCATTCAACCAGTCATTAAAGCAGAACACTTAGAAATCATTCTTAATTCTTTCTCTTGTGGCTTAAACCTAATCATTTACATGTAGTTTCTGCTTTATATTTAAAATATACTTAATATCTGACTTCTTACCATCTCTTCCTCTGCCCAAACCATCATTATCTGTCATGAATATTTTCATTATCTTTCTAACTAATCTCCCTTTGTCTTCTTCGCCTAATCCATATACACAAACTCAAATTGGAAAAAACATAAACTAGATGACCATTAGTCCTTTGTTTTAAACTCTCCATTGGTTTTGCCAGGTAATGTGGTGCATGCCTATAATACCAGTGAGTCAGGAGGCTRAGGCAGGAGGGTTGCAAGGTTGAGGGCAGCAATAGCAGCTTAGTGAGGCCCTAAGCAACTTAATGGGAGCCTGTCTCAAAAAATAAAAGTACTGGGGATATAGCTCAGTGGTAAAGCTCTCCTGGGTTGTAAATAAATGAAATAAAATAAACTCTCCATTGGCTTCTCATTACACTTAGAATAAAATTTTAGGCTCTCTACTGTGGTCCATAAAGCCCTACAGGACCTGGCCTTGCTACCTCTCTGGCCTCTCCCAGGACTCTGTGCTTACTCCACTCCAGCTACACTGGTCTTGCTCCTAAGCCTCAGATATGCTGAGCTTGATCCTACCTGTGGTTTCTTAGTTTGGAATGTTTCCTCCTCAAATCTTAACATCTTAATATTTTTAAGTCTTAACATCATTTATTCAGTCTCTGCACAAATGTATTATCAGAGAGGCCATGATCACACTTCTGTATTTTTCCTTATAGCACGTATCATTCATTATCTGAAATTATATTAAGCATTTATGTGTAATCTGCCATCCCTAGAGATGGAAACTCCCCAAGGAAAGGTGTTTCTTCTTGTTCACTGCTCTCTGCAATGCCATGAACAGTGCTTGGCACACAGCAGGTGCTTACTTAATATTTTTTTGAATGAATAAATGTATATATACTACCTTCATAGGTCCGTGGGTTTAGATATAAAAATTTGAAGGCCCCCCAAAAGGCTTTCACTTTCTTCTTCCCCATCCAAATTACAAAAACCAGGATGTAATTTACTCATATTTTTTGGATAATTTTATTGTTCCACATCAAATATTCCCTTCCTTTGTGTCTAGCTGCTGTGTAATTTTGATAATATTTCTCCATGTAACGTGTGTGTGTGTGTGTGTGTGTGTGTGTGTGTGTGTATATAATATTTTCCTTTTTAACAGCAGGAGAAAAGCTGAGTGGGGTACAGTTGAGTCCAAGTAACCAACAAGAGATGAAGAATAATGTGGAGAAAGTACTACAGTTTGTGGCCTCCAAAAAGATTCGTATGCATCAGACTTCAGCTAAAGGTTGGTGTCTCTTCACATCCTTGGTGGATGAACACACTCAGCTTTACTGGTGTTTGCCAGTCTTAGAAGCAACACTCTTGGTTGTGTAGCCACTGGCTCTTTTTTTTTTTTTTTTCCTGGTGCTGGAGATAAGAACTTTGTACATGCCAGGCAAGTGCTTTTCCACTGAGCCACATTCTCAGCTAGCCAAGGGTTGTAGAATGGCCTCATGTCATTTTTCCGTAACAAAAGTTATCCTCTTGGGATGGAGTGATTATCAGAATCTGAGTGCTGTGGAAACCTGGGTGGAGATAGAAGTTCTCTATTCTTTGTAGTTGGATACAGAACTCCTTGAGTATATATGGGAGAATTAATTGTACAAAAATAAATGACAAAATTATATTAATTTTAGAATGTCTAAGTTTTCAAAAATGGAAATAGATAATATTTTTCAAGTTCCTTGGKTTTTTTGACCAAATATTATTTCACATTATCATAACGTGTTTTTTTCTCCCAGTTTTCTAGAAGGAAAATATTTTATAGCATTTTCTTAATGTCAGTACATTCCARGCAGGATAGAAGGGGCTCTGTGGCCTCTGAATATGCCCTCTTCTGTAGTGACATGACCCAGGTGGGTTTGGCCAGGCTGCAAAGAAGGAGCAATATAGGTGTCCTTAGAAAACATAGGCTCCGGGGCTGGGGATRTGGCTCAAGCGGTAGCGCGCTTGCCTGGCGTGTGTGCGGCCCGGGTTCGATCCTCAGCACCACATACCAACAAAGATGTTGTGTCCGCCGAGAACTAAAAAATAAATATTAAAAATTCTCTCTCTCTCTCTCCTCTCTCACTCTCTCTTTAAAAAAAAAAAAAAAAAGAAAACATAGGCTCCCTAATCCTTTGCTGTTTCTCTAGAATTGATTGGATCTAGTTCTGTTGCAGCTTCAGTTTCTGGGTCTGATTGCCTGTCCGACAATGGAGTCAGAAGGGAGCCTTCCTTTCATGTTGGATTATTGGAATTCTTTGTGTAGGGGTCATTCAGGTGGGCAAATGCTGAACCACTGAGAACACTCAGAGGACATATCAAATAATCCTTTTCTAAGTTTTGTATATTTAAAAGGTTAAGAGGCTAAATAAATATAATTTTACCTTGAGTTAATTTTCACCAGTTCTATCACATTACTTTTTGCCTTTTTTTCTAGGGCAGAATTTAGAGAGCCATATCTTTGATCTGGTCCCCATGTGGAGTGGGCTTGGGGATCTGGCCCAGTAAAGTCGCTATTTTTAAGGGAACCCTGCCATTCAGGGCATCATTGTCTTTTACCTGGAGAAGCACTACAGTTTCCTAATTAGTCCTGCTGCATTGATTTTTTCCCTTTCTTTTTCTGCTTACCATACTGCAGCCAGAATGATCTAAGAATGTATGTTTATGATATTCCTCTGCATTGAGGGCCCTTAGAATAAAATCCAAAGTCTTTCCTATGGCTTACTCTGTCCTGTATGACCAACCTCTATTTCTCCATCACTGCTCATCTTTCCCTTCTTCCTCTGGATCCAGTACTCTGTCCATGCTGAACTTCTCTCAGTTCCTTCACCATAAAGCTGAGTCCCAGAAATATAACGTAAATTACACTGGTAACTTAAAAGTTTCTAATAGCCATATTATAAAAAATTAATGAGATGATACTTTATCTAACTCAATATATCCAAAATACTATTGTTTGATTCTGAAATCAGTACAAAAATTTCTGAGATGTTTCATATTCTATTTTTGTACTAAGTCTAATGAGATATTTGTCATTCATTTTTTATGTGTGTATTAAGTAAGTACTGTACATAGAGCACATTTCAATTCAGAATAGTGAAATTTAAAATGCTTAGTGGCAGCATGTGGCTTGTGGCTCCTATGTCAGACAGTACAGCTCTTTCACTTGCAGGCCCTTTAAACCTACTTTTCCTTCTTCCCAGATTACTTTTTTCCCTTCTTTCATTCATGGACCCCACTCTTCATCAAACAAGTCTCAGTTGAGGACTCACTTTCTTTAAGAATATATCCCGGACCCCTCTAAGATGCCTCTACTTAAGTCTTTAATGCCAAAGACTTCTGTACTTCTGTGATCTGAATGTTATTGTACTTATTATGTAATTGCTTTTAGACCTTCTTTCTCCTTTGTTGAACATGGCTTTGTGAAGACCAAGACTTTGACTTCCTTTCTTGTGTGTCACTAGCACTTTGTAACGCAAGTCTTCAGCCTCTGCTTCTTTCTCAGGACTTCTTGGTCTGTTTGGTCCTTCAGATATTGTGGAAGGAAACCTGAAGTCCATCATGAGGCTGGTCCTTGCGTTGGCAGCTCATTTCAAACCTGGCTCTAGCAGGATGGTGAGCCAAGGACAGGACTCCAGAGCCCCTCTACAGAGTCACCAGCCACATTGTGCCACTGCCGTGGCTCAAGGAGCAGCTGCTGCTTTGGCTGATGTGTGCCATGACATGTCACGATCAGGACGGGATGTCTTCAGATACAGACAGAGGTAAGAGTAGAAATCTGGGGATGGAAACTGATATCTCTCTCTGGTATTTCTTCTCTTAGACAATACAGTACAGGAGTTGGAAGTATCACATAAACAGCCCCACATTGCAGAAAAGGACATGGAGTGGAGGTTTGGGAAGGTACCCCAAGAGAAAAGTTTATTTCTGTTTGAGATGATTATTTGCAGTTATTAGAATGTAAGAGAACTATATGTGTACGGTTTTTCCTCTGGTTCACAGAGAGATATGTAGGAGTAATACTTTAGTCTATCTGGGAGAGGATCTACCCTGGTATATATCCAGAAGACTAAGCTGTCCTGGAGAGTCATGGCAGAAAGTCTTTTGGGGATTATGCATCTGATGAGGGAGAGAACAACCCTGAAATGTTGCAGAGATTGATGAAATTCCCTTTTTTTTTTTTTTTTTGGCCTGCCTTCCCTACTAGATTTCTTTGAGGCGGGGTTTTGCCTTATTCATTTTCWTGCTTATGGTGCTCACAGAGTGTTAGAGAACAAGTACATTTAGAGTTGACCTGATTTGAAGAACTGATACTCTCCCCTTTTTTACTCTTTGGCTTTAGGAACAGTAGCATGGATGAGGAGATTGAGAATCCATACTGGAGTGTGCGCGCACTGGTGCAGCAGTATGAAGGACAGCAAAGGTCTCCTTCTGAGTCGAGCTGCTCCAGGTAATTTGGCCTCAGATTCCTTACACTACAGCTGAATTTTTGGGTATTCTCAGGGTTCTCAACTTCAGGTGGCAAAACAGCAAGCAACTAAGACACTTAACCTCTTTTTTTTTTTTCGAGAGAGAGAGAAAGAGAATTTTTTAATATTTCTTTTTTAGTTTTCGGTGGACACAACATCTTTATTTTATTTTTATGTGGTGCTGAGGATCAAACCCAGTGCCCCAAGCATGCCAGGCGAGCGCGCTACCGCTTGAGCCACATCCCCAGCCCCCCTAACCTCTTTTTWAAAAAAWTTTTTATAGTTACAGATGGACAGCATGCCTTTATTTATTTGTTTAGTTTTTAAAAAAATATTTTATATTTTTAGTTTCAAGTGGACACAATATCTTTATTTTACATTTACGTGGTGCTGAGGATCGAACTCAATGCCTCAAGCATGCTACGCAAGCTCTACCACTGAGCCACAACCCCAACTCCCTGTTTGTTTAGTTTTCTTATGCAGTGCTAAGGATAGAACCCAGTGCCTCACACATGCTAGGCAAGTAATCTCCCACTGAACTACACCCTCAGCTCCCTAACCTCTTTTTCTATCCTCAGTTTGACTTTTAAAAGAGAGCCCTCAGCATTGCATGTGATTTTGTATTGACAGGAGGTGAATGAGGCTGGTGAATTTTTCSCACAGAGAAACTGTGGAGCCTCAGTGCCAATGCTTAGCTGTGACCACATGGGGGCATGCCTGGGACCTGTCAGATCCCAGCCTAGTGGTGCTGACATTTGTGTACCAGCTGCCAATGTTTATGACAGCCAGTTTCATTGCACTGTCTTGGATCCTGAGTATGACTCTTAAGTTATGTCTGGAGAAAGCTGTATAAATCTCACAGCAAGAAAAGAAATTCAGCAGAGTTGTCTGAAGCATTAAGAGTATTCCAATATTCAATTTCAGGGCTGGGAATGGTGGCAGATCAGTATGTATTTGAGTGGGCTAATAATGTTTATGACTCTAGGTGGAGAGGCTGTCTCAGTCTCCTTTAGAACCAAGGGCCGAGACCAGAACAGGACACTGCTCTAATAAAAGCCTGACCAATGCCAACAGTAGTGAAAGAAAAAGATTATTTTCCWGACTCATGTAAATCACACTCCTGCAAACACATCCTCAGATTATGTTAGCTTATTTACTAATTTCATTTTATTGATGAATCATACTTTACTTACGCTGTAGTGACTTTTTTTTGTACCTTAACCAGTGAAGTCTATTCTGTTTAAGCTTAATTGTTCCTTCTATATGTTTTTTTCTCTTATGTCTTTCCTTCATAAAAATCCATCCTATTTTGACAGACCATTTTCTAATTTATTGAGGTCATATGGAACTCTTTCCAGCATTTTAATATACTGGTAACCTTGATMAATTTTAAAATTTTCACATTTAAGAGGTGTTCTTTTTTATTTATAAAATGCACATACATCAACCATTAAACATTCTGAAGTATACAATCCAGCACACTCATTTAGTATCTTCATAATGTGCAGCCATCACCACCATCCCGTTGGAAGACATCTTCATCATCCCAAAAGCAAGCCCATAACCACTGAGCAATATGTGTGCTTTTAATGACAGTCTGAACCATTGCTTTTTTGCTTTCTGCTTGGACTATCAGTTGGTACAGAATCAAAAGATATTTCCTTGTATAATGAGATCTGTTGCTTCCTGCAGTCTATAAGCCTTTTACTCTTCTGATGACAGTGCCTGTTTTAGACAGAGATGAGGAAATGGATCTCCTCCTGAAAGCACCTGCTTCCTTCCTCCAAGCAGGAGGACTTAGATTGGGGCTGGAGCTCCTGAGATTGTAATTGAGGGACCCACTGGAAAGAAGGCTGCTCAGGACACTGTTCTAGGAGAGGGGTTGGAGGAGAATAATTTGTATTCATTCTCCTTTGTTTTCTTCTCCTTCCTGATTTTGCCATTTTTTTCTTCTGCCAGTCCCTCACTCAACTGAGAATTCACACTCTGCCTTTTCTTCCGGAAATGCCCAGGGAAGGAGTGGGCTTCTCACAGCTACCAGGGACCAGCAGGCCCTGGCACTTCTGTCCCCGCCCACCGCCCMGCCCCAGGGAGTACCCCTGAAGGGGATAGGAGACTTGCCGGGAGACCCAGGGATGTGGGTGGTCCGGAGAGTGGCTCGGAAGATAGGAAGGATAGCCCCTTAGGTCTGATCCCCTTTCCTTGGAACTCCAGGGACAYCCCGGGCATAGCCCTGCCCGCCTGTTGCTCCATAACCTCGGGCCAGCCTGTCACTGTATCCTAGCAAAAAGATCCTCAGTTTGGTGGGGAGAGCGGCGGCGGTGGGGGGGGGGGCGTGGGCGGGGGAGGGAGGAGAAAACATAAAACGCCAGAGGGGAAGGTGGGAGGAATTGGGCGTCCAACGGGTTTCCTAGGGACAGCCTGAGTCTCCACCCCGCTAGCTTCCCCCTCTTGCGGGAAGCCGGGCTGGGCTCCCTGCGGGTTAAACCTGCGCGTTAGACCCGGTCCACTAAGGGAGGGGTCGTAATGGAGCGGCAGCGATTTCCAATCTGCGCTTCTTAGGACCAGGATCACTCGAGCCCTCCGGGTGATTCTTCCGACCCGTCGCCCTTCCCCCGCCTATCCTGGGGCTCCAAACCGTCCCTCGCTGCCCGGACCCCGCCCCTATCCCCCGCTCGCACCCCTACCTTTGCCCAGAGCGGCTTGGGTCCGAGCCCAGCGCTGCCTCGTCGCATGTGACAGCCTGGGAAGGTTCGGGAGGGAGGCGGGTGAGGTGGGAGGGATAGGGGAGGCGGTGCGGAGCGGGATCACCCGCACGCTGGCGGCTGGGGACTCGACGCGCAGCCCGAGCTGCTGGGAGCCTCTCTCCGGGTCGGAGATGGGTTGAGATGCTTCCGCCTCCGGGGATGCCCAGAGCCGCGCGGCCGCGGAGACTAAGATGCAGCTGCCAGGAACGGGCTGTCGACAAGAGGAGGCGGCTTCCTCCGAGGCTGGGCTGCGGCAGAGTCTGAGCTGCTGGGACAGTGCGCTTCACACCCGGGAGCATCCCTGTCTCTGGTGCCGAGACGCCGGCCTCTGCCCTTTATACTTTCTCCGGCAATTGGGACCAGCTTCTCCGCGGGTTGGCTSGTCCCGGGAGTCGTTCTTCGGGCCCCAGAGCGGGGAGACATGCCTGAATTTGGGAGAGCTGTGACTCTCAGCCTTCCACTTCACCCAGAGAAGCAGGCTTGCTGAAGCCCGAGCCAGGAGGGGGACCATGGGAGGGACCCAAGTCAAATGGTGAGCTGAAGCCACTTGGGCTTTGCAGGTGGGGGCATGGGTGGGAGTAAGGCCAGGACTGGAGGATGCTGTTGGCCACGGAGACGGGAATCAGTCGTGGCGCTTTATTGGGGAGGACAGGCTGCTGGCCTGGGATTATAACTATAAAATACGGTGGTTCTAGGCATCTGGAGCCAGCTATAGAGGAAGGACTGGTCCTTTTCTGTCTCTGCTAAAGGAGGTGTCTTCGGGAGGAGACAGGACTGTTCCTTATCGCCCATCGCCTAAAAAAAAAAAAAAAAAAAAAAATTGATTTGAGTCTAATTTGAAAGGTCTTTGCCGGGGGGATTTCTTGTCTAATAAATTAGCATTGGAGAGATATTAGACCTGTGGGAATTAAAAAATATTACCAGTTGGACCTGATTTGTAATCATTTGTTCTCTGACCTCAGAGAGGATTATGATAGCAAGTAGGGGATTTTTTGTTTATTTTATGTCTTTTAAACTAGTCCGGGAGGAGCCAAAGTCTTAGAATTAATTAGCATTAAAATACTTTACTCTGACCTGAGGTAGAGGATTTAATGCACCTCCTTTATCCGTGAAATACTTAGGGAGGCAGCACCCTCCCTGCTCTAGCCTGCGCCTCTGGATTTTTCTCTCAGGTCCTTCCCCTTTTTTGACTTGGCCATCTAGTTTCCTGGTCTTACCTCTGGCCTCACCCAGGCAGCCTCAATTCAAGAAAAAGAAATGTTGTTTTCCTTTGGCTGCTCTGCCACGCCCCCAAAGGGGTTGGTTATCCAGGCATCCGCCCCCTTCTGCCCTTATATGGGGAACAGCTCTCTTACGAGGAGGAGGAGGAGGAGGAGGAGGAGGAGGAGGAGGAGGAGGAACGGAGCATGCGTCTGCGCTTTTAGGAAAGCAGTTTTCCAGCATCCTAAGTTCACACTACCTCTGTCCCCGTCCTCGCTTTGTCTGGCACCTACCTCCTGTAGTCCAGCCAGATGCAGGCAGGGGAACATGTCAGCAATAGCACCTTGTCAGCTGAGAAAGCGGGGCTGCCTTATTCCTCAAAGAGGAGCAGCTGTTGTAGGTTTCTTTCTGCACCTGGATTCCCATTTCTAAAAGAGGTAAATGCTGAGCATCATAAATCTTATAAATGACATAGCAGTCTTAGTTGAGAGCTTTTCCAGCATTTTAATTCATGCTGGTCTAAAACTCAGATTGCATAGGTGGTGAGAGATGAACAGGAGTTCTGGAAAGCACTCATTGTTTCTCATCCTCCTTACCCCTTTTGCCTGTTTGTGTTGTAGATCTATACATATTATTAAGCAACTTTTTAAAATGTGGAGTAGCACAAAACTATAAATTTTTTTTCCTGTAGTTCTGAGAAGCAACAGAATATAGTACTCACTAAGGTCATATCCACCAAAACACTTCAACTGTGGACACTAGTCCTCAGGCTGCTTTACATGAGGTTTTGAAGTCTTTGGCTGTTTCACTGTGKTTGGCTCTTGTTTTTTGTGGGTTTCTAGGAAGATGATATCTTAACTCCTGATCCTTGTTGTGAGGATTAGTCTGGAAGACTTCAGGGGCACATTAAGTGGGTCAGTGAATCCTAGACACTTTCACTGTTGTCTGGGTGATGAATTTGGAAGGAATTCTATAAGGGGGCTGGGCCTGCAAACCCCACAGCCCCTGAGATTGTTTCAGTGCTGATATTCTCAAGGTGCAGTGCAGGGAGAAATGGCTCTTCAGACTCCTTTATCCCTCTCAGACCGAAGCATCAGCCTCACATTCCCATCTAGTCTTATTATTTGTTGTGGTTCCAAAGATTTAAAATTCCTCTTCCCTGAAAATCTGAACAGTGCCTCTGAAGGATAGTAGTTATATCAGAACTTAAGAATTATTGAGAGGTTTCTGATGACAATTTGAAAATACTGCGGCAGAGATATGTAATGATTTACTTTGATGGGAGTAAATCAGGTGAACCCTTATTTCACTACTCCTTGCAGATCTTTCTCCTTTTGACATCTTACCCTTATTTTCTGGCTCAATTGTTGATAAATCACTGTCCCTCTGCTCAGCCTGTATACACTATATTCATTCCAGCAATTTCTACCCCAAGCTATCCTGACCCTATCTCTTTGGGGATAGAGCTGATCTGTGATCACTCTGCTGGTTTTGCTTGTGTAAGAGATCAGTGTATTGGAAATAAAAGTTTTTTTTCTAGCTCCAAAAGCTACTAAGACACATGCTGGCATTTGTCTCAGAACACAGGCTTGGGGAATGGTGATGGTGGAGGTAGTGAAAGGTAAAAAACAAAACAAAACAAAATCTTAAAGTTATTTAAATGCTAGATTACCTGTCCTGATAATTTTCTTCTCAAATCAGTGATGCTTAAAGGCAGCCTTGTTGTGGAAAAGACTTTCAAAGACTGGATTATTCATTAAACAAGTTTATCATCTAATAAATAGTTCTTATTATGGGTTAGGTGCTGTGTTAGGCACTATGGGTAAGATGATTAAGTCTTCTCTCTGGGATAAATTATGAAAGTTGGCTTCTGAACAACTGTAGTAATTGCTTCTTTTCCTTTTTCTTCAATCACAGCCTGACTTCACCCAGTCCAATTCACAGTGCAAARAGTGAGTCCATTATAACACAGTCGGAGGAGAAGGCAGATTTTGTGATTATTCCCTCTGAAGGAATAGAGAACAGAACAGGTACTGTCTGTCTGCCTGCTTGGGTTGGCTCAAGGAAAGTCTCTGAACTTGAAGCATTTGGAGGTCCTGATTATCTACCTCTAAGCTCCCTAGCCTTGTCCCTCTCTGTGGTCTGTGCATGTGGGGTCAGCTGTGGAGGGCTGTAATGCCCAAGAGCCAATTAATGTAGTTATCCTCTTAGAAGCCTTACTTAGGTAAACAACTTTTAATATATATATATATGTTTTAGATGGACACACAATACCTTTATTTTGTGTATTTATTTTTATGTGGTGCTGAGGATTGAACTCAGTGCAAGCACTCTACCACTGAGCTACAACCCCAGCCCAACAACTTTTATTATTCCTATTTTTTTACAAACAATTTTGGTACTTCTCTAACTTAAATTAGGGCCAGGAATGTAGAGTATGAATGGAGAACACACATTAGAGAGCAAGTCTACATCAGGCTCAACATGAGGGCTACAGAGAGACCACAAAGACTTCCCTTTGTTTAGGCTTCTCCGTGGTCAGTCTCATTGGTCTCCTTTATTTTTTTTTTTAACCTAAACATAAAGAAAAGCAAAGAAGAAGCATAGCATAAAAGTTACATTGAATTTCATTCACTCATAAGTGTTGTAATGAAACCGAAGTACTTGGAAGAAAAGCTGTAATTAAATTTTTCCATACTTTCTTACCCCTCAGTCCTACCATTAGGGCCAAAAAGCTAGTCATACTACTGAGTCAGAAACTCCTGGGACCTTGCAGAGGGAGGARGAAAATATTTATTGTGTGCCTGCTCCAAACCAGGTACCACCAGTCACTGCACAGAAGTGTTTTTGTTTTGTTTGTTTTATGGTCTTGGGGATTGAACCCAGGGCCTTGTGTATGCTAAGCAAGTGCTTTACGACTGAGCTACATCCCCCACCCATAAGTTACTTCTTTTAATCTTTACCACAACCCAGAGGAATTATTATACTCCTTTTATGAATAAAGACATTTACTCCAAGAACTTATACTCTTTTTTATTTCATGATGAATTTTAAGTTACTCTGAATACAATTAAGATAAAATAGATGAGAAAACCAGAGCAAAGAAGCCTTAAGGGTAGGGAAATAAAACCAGGGAGTRATATTAAACAGTTTTGTAAGCATGATTTTATTAGTTTGTTTCCTGTGTGACTCACACAGTGTTATATGTGAAAGGGGTTCAGTCGTGATGCAAAGGAATCAAAGGAATATTGAATCATGGTCTCCCTTGTAAAACTCTAGCATAACCAACAGGAATTTTGTTTTCATTACACCTGACAGTTTCTTTCTTTGTATCTGGCAAATTCAGGCTTTGGGAATGCCAATTCTAGAGAATTAAGACTCTGATGGTGGGAGTCCTACTGCTTCCTAAGAGTTTAAGAAATGGTTTTCCGTAGCAGAGTGAATGATGCTTCGCTGGTCCTGAAACCTGAGTTAACAGTCAGTTCCTTATGCCTCACAAACCCCACCTGGTGGAGAGTTCAGTTTGTATGTGAGGACAGGTTCAGAAAGCAGGTGACCTGAACCTGTAAACTACTCTTSTGGACGCTTTCTGCCGGAAATCAGTGTCCTCCAACATGAACTATACCCCTTCCTTTCATTTTGTAGAGGAGATAGACTCTCCATTATCCCGAGACTGGCGACCTGGGAGCCCTAGAACCTATCTGGAGACCTCATGGGAAGAACAGCTGTTGGAACAACAAGAACATTTAGAAAAAGAAATGGAGGAAGCAAAGAAAATGATATCAGGACTACAGGTAGCTCTTTCTCTTGTAGTTTGTCTTCAGTGCACCAATTGATTATTATTTTTAAGTCACTAGTGTAAATTGAAAAAAAAACAACCCTGATTTTAGTTTTGTATGAGATCAGAGTTGAATGAGGGAATTTAGATAGAGTAGTACACAAAAAGCAAAAATGCTAATATGTGAGTGCTTTAAATGGACTTTGTGGACAGTTTGTAGCACAGCTGTTAGGATTTCTGCAAGCTCCGGGGCCATCACCAGCCCCTACCAAGCACTTATTTTGACTCTGCTTCACAGGCAGTCTTCTTTAGGTGGTTACAAATCTGCAATTGCAGCTTTCAACCAAGAATGGCACTGTGAATAGTCAGGAATTTTCTCCCAGGAATTCTTCACTAGGGAAGGTGGAAGAGCAAGTAATGCCGCCAGGTTTCCATTTTCCTCTAGCTAAGGGATTTAGCCCACTCCTAATGCATTTGCAAGCGGGTGCCAAGTCACAATGATCAGGTAGAAAAGGTTTTCCTTGAGCAACAAAGCCCTTCAGTTTTTCCTGTACCTGCAGTGTCAGCTCTGCAAATCTCTTCAGAGACTGGTGACCCACTTGACATAGTTTCCACCCTGAATGACCCCCTCAATCCTCTGTCTTTGTGTGATCATCTCTGTTTGGGGGAGCCCTTATAGTGTGCTGATGACCCTGAAATTGCCTAGGAATATTCCTTTCTGTTTGTGCTGGGAACTGCACCGCTTCTGAATTGTGAAATATTTATGGACACATAAACAAAGCCCACATTATGTGTGTGGCTCTGGCAGCCGGCAGGCAATGGAGGGTGTGCTCCCAGCCAGCCAGCAACAGGGTGGGGACACAAAGGGTTCCTAAAGAAAAAAGGATATTGGTGCTGTGGTAAAATAATTTGCATAATGTATCCCTAGGGACTGAGAAGGCTTGGGGGAATGTTTAGAGGAATGTTACTGCCTAAACATTCCCAAAGAAAGTTGTTGGTTTTTCCTTTATTTGCTCCATATTTTAAAAACATCTAGCTTATGAGGCATTTTAGGTCCTTTTTCTGCCACTCCATTAAGGAATATCTCAATGATTTTTTTTTCCTGTGCTTGACTAGGAGGTATTCCATAGAGAACTTAGGGATTGTAGCCAGTCAGGTTTTTCCCAGGGTAATTTGCATTATATGAGCATGTATATCCATCAATTTAGCTCTTGGTTTGGTTTGTATCTTAGCCTTGGAGAAATATGATGGCAGCTGAAACAGAAAGAGAAGATAATTGACAGGCAGAAAGTCAGCATCTTAATATTCCCTGCAAATGGGAGTTTTAATTCATAGGCACATGATCACAATGAGAATTCAGTTCCATTGTAGAATACAAAAGGACTCACAGCATCCACTGGACTTCTTAACTCTTTCACAGGATGAACAAATTACATGCTAAGCCACATTGAGGATTTCCGATTTATTAGTATGCCTTAGTTAGAACCTGTTGAACAATTTTCCATTAGTCACTATTTCTGTACTGCTATTCTCCCTTAGCCCCTGTATAGCCCTGACTATACATGTCTTGTACATGTCTGTGCTTCTCTCCATAACCCTATGAAATAGCCAAATTAATTTGATTTACTAATATTTTATTAGCAGTATTTAGTAGATCAATCACTGGCTGGACTTTAAGATGTTTTTATCAACACTTATGATGAAATTGTGTTATATCAATTGAACCAGGATTTAACCTCTGTAATTCTTCTCTTTTGAATTGAGACAGAATYGTATTATAAAATAGGAACATATTTTTTAATCTTTCACTGGTCTGATAGGTCTCATAAGACCTTCCTAAAGGGACAGATCCAAGTTTTGGGAGTGCTAAAGTATATAATTTGGGGAGACATTCAACTTTAAGAATAAGGTTTTGAAATATAAATACAATATTAGGATAGGGTCTTGAGAGAACACACGTAGGGGGCCTAAAGCTGGACTTCCTTAACTGCCCGCCTCCAGTCACTAAATTTTTTGTTTTCTTTTCAGTGCTGGGGATGGAACCTACTGGTGTTGTACCACTGAGTTATATCTCCAGTCCTTTTTATTTTGTAAAAGTTTAAAAGAGGGACTTCCTAAGTTTCTAAGGCTGGCCTTGAATTTATAATCCTTCTACCTCAGCCTCTGAAGTCGCTGGGATTCCTGGAAACTCCCTAATATTCTAATGCAAACAGAACCTGGAATTAAAATGAAYGAGGACATCTAAGTCTTCCTTCTTATTCTATCCAGGTTGCCTTAGAAAGTAAAAATGAAGAATTATTAAAGCAAAAATCAAACAATCTCAAGTCATGTGTATTCCAAATAAGTCATTATGATACACTTTTCTAATCCAGGATAATTCTTTACTGCTTTTAGATCCTTTCTAGTTTGAGCAGTTTGAGCAACTCTGGTTTTAAATATGCTCTGTCACTTCTGAAAGGAAGATTTGTTTTTAGATTTTCTTCTGGGGCTAAGGAGCCCAGGAGCAGAGGGTTCACTTGTATACAGAAAGATGAAAGAGGCCTAGAGCATGGGTCTGACAAAAGAAGCTGGTCCCAAGGAAAGGAATTGGAAGTATCTAGGGGCAAAAGTACCAAGGAGATTTCTGGAGGAAGCCAGAACTGTCATTTCAGTTGGAGTGAGCTTACCAAGCCCATCTCTGGAGTAAGTCATCTGATGGGAATTTAAGTTTCTTTCTGCCTTTTTGGTTATTCAGGCCTTGTTGCTCAATGGATCCTTACCTGAAGATGAACAGGAAAGGCCTTTGGCCCTCTGTGAACCAGGAGCCAATCCGGAGGAACAACTGGTGAGCTCCATTTTTTTGTAACTGGACACTAATCTAGTGTATATATTTTACTTATTCTTAGCATTTGACTCTGCTGACCACACCTTCTTGGAATCTGCCTTCTGCTGTCTCTAACTCTTGTTGCTGACTCTGTGTGGCGCTGTTTCAAGGTGCTGAAGATATGGTAGTAGGAAAACAGGCCTAAGACCCTACCCTCAGAGAGTTTAAATTCAGCTCCCCTTTGAAGCTTCCCTTTTACTGCCTATGTCTTCAATGTTAGTGCCTCTCAGTGTTCTACTCTGGGTCCTCCTCTGTCTTATGTAGTCCCCTGGGCAGTCTGCCTCCATGTCTTTTCTCACTTCCCATCTGTTTCTTATTTTTGTATTTGCAGTCCAAAACACTCTGTGGAGTTCTGGATTTGTATATGCAACATGCAGCTGCCTGCTGACTGTTTTCATTTATATATGGTATAAACATCTCAATTTTAGTGAGACCTAAACTGAACAGTTTTTCTGTCTTCCACCCAACTGCCAAAACTACTTGTCCTTTTGGATGTCTGTACATCTCTTTGCATCTACCCAATGTCCCAAACAGAAAGTTGGATGTCATCCTTAAATCCTTTCTGATCCTTCCCTCTACATGTAGTTGTCTCAATTCTCATAGCCACTAATTTATTCAGGCATTCATCCAGCATTCTAGTTTCCTGCTAACTGGTTCTCCTAATTCCTCTTCTGTCCTCTAATTTGTTTTCTATAAAATAACAAGAATAATATTCCTAGAGGCCAACTTCACTTTGTTATCTCTTTGCATAAGACTTCATCAGTTTCCTGTCATCCTTACTGGCCCTTCATGATCTGGCCCCTATTTTCTTCTGCAACTTCATCTCTTGTCATTTTTCTTTCTCCCTTTATCTTATCCCCTGCTCCCAATACACACATACTTATTCGAAGCATTATTCATATTGTTCTACTTCCTGCACTTTGGGCCTATGTTTCCATCAGAAGGCAGGAACCTGTTTCCTCTTCTTTGTAGCCTCAGTGCAGAGCTGATATCTAGAAAGGTGCTTGATAAATATTTTTCAAACAAAGTGGCTTCTGAATTTCATATCATAGTTGTATAATYATCTGTTTTTTTCTTATGTTAGGTTATAATTCAAAGCCGTTTGGATCAGAGTATGGTGGAGAATCAGGACCTAAAGGTATGTCAGGATATGTGCCTTTTACCCTTTGAAAAAAAATAATGGGAGTGTTACACACAAACTTCAAGACAATTTTGTGTGAAGGGAAGGGGATGCGGAATCAGGATGTTAGCTGAACCTCTACCTGTATTTTGTCTTTAATTGAAAGACAGAGATATATCCAAACATGTGAAAAAAAGTAATACCTTTTAAATCATAGTTGTGGGTAATAGATATATGTGTTTTAATTGGTTGTACTTTCTCTATGTTTGAAATATTTCTTTTCTAATTAAAAGAAAACATGGGTCTAATATCAATGTAGTATTTTTATGAATACTTTGCAGAATTCTTTTAGGTCAGTGGTTTTTAATTTTTTTGAGTCATAGGTATATGACTAAAGACGTTAACCCTTTCCCCAGAAATATACCTGTGTGCATGCACACATACTCACAGATGTGAATTTTTTAAAAAAATATTTACTTTTTATTTGTAGTTGGACACAATACCTTTATTTATTTATTTTTATGTGGTGCTGAGGATCGAACGCAGGGCCTCATACGCACTAGGCGAGCACTCTACCRCTGAGTCACAACCCCAGCCCACAGATGAGAATTTTAATAGGGTAATTTTCAATCCCATCTGTGGAGTCCAGGTTAAGGATACCATTTTAGAGCCTGGTGTGGTAGCACACCCCTATAATCCCAGTGACTCTGGAGGCTGAGGCAGTAGAGCCACAAGTTTGAAGCCAGCCTGGGCAACTTAGTGAGATCTTGTCTCAAAATAAAAAGGGTGGGGTTTGGGTCAGTGGCTCTGAGCAGGGGTGTATCTTCAGGGGTTCAATCCCCAGTAGTATCACACACAAAAAAATCCCATTTTGGATATGTTAATTAAATGGATGCATTTTAAATATGATGCATTAGGAAATGCAAATTAAATATGATGTGTTAGGAAAAGAAGAGAGTGGAGTCCAGAAGCTCTCCAATCCTTAGCTGAACCTTAAGAACTGAGATAATTATTTAATGACATGGACATAGGCATATTTAGATATGGTTATATATTTCAGTGAGAGGGATTTAGATTATTATGATTAGATTTTCTTGTTGGTGAAGAATGAAAAATATAGAGAGCCTGTGGAGATTGATGGGTTGTTTTTTTCCTTGGCAAGACTGTTTCTGGGCAATTAAGCCGAGATGCCACAGAGAAGAATGGAGTAGGTCCTGTTCTTGTTTTTGTGGGTCAGCCTTTAATGCTTACTGGACCACATCTGTCTGCCTCAGTAGAGGGTTAATCGTTCATGGGATGGTCAACTGGGTTTTGTCTTCTCACTGACAGAATGAGGTAATGCTTCTGAAGCAACCCAGATGCCACCATCTGATGTAACTATATTTGGTTTGCAGAAAGAGCTGCTGAAATGTAAACAAGAAGCCAGAAACTTACAGGGTATAAAGGTAAAAAGGAAGATATTTAATTCTTTAAATAAAGTCTCTGTWAGGTAAAGTAGTTTATTGGTAAGTGGCAATAGTTGGGTGCTAGGAGAATCGTTTTAATTTGCTAGGGGTCTTTAATAGGCTTTGTACTATTGTGGGTGGGAATTGAGGCATGTTGAAGAATGTATCTTTGTTTTGCTGAGGTTTATGTCTGGTAGTTATGATTCATGRTGCTACCATTTCCCTCTGTGCCATCTCAGTTGTCTCCACGTGTAAAGTACTTCTCTTCAATATGAAAGAATGTCCTTTTTATTCCCAAAGAAAAATATTACTTACTTAGCTTTGGAATAGTTAATAACATTCAAGTGGTTTAAAGGTATGAAAGGACAGATCAGGAAAAGTCTGCCTGCCGTTTCTGTCCCCCCAGTCATCTAGTTCTCTTTCCTGGAGGTAACATATCAATTATYAGCAAATGTGTATGTATATTGTAAAATATACATATGTATAATGTCTATTTCACCCAAATAGTAGTATACAGTAAATACAGCTTGTCACTTTGCTTTTTGCACTTAGCAAGGGATCCTGTAGATCATTCTGTTTCAATAAAGACCTTCTTAGGCATTTTTTATATTTTCATAGTGTTTTAATATACACATATATGCTAATGTATTTATCATATTTCTATTGATGGTATTTTATTTTCCAGTCTTTTGCTAATACCCATGATCTAGCTAATAACCATTAATGTATGTTACTTCATCTAAGTGGGATTTTTCTACTGAATAAATACCCAAAAGTAGAAGAGGATATTCTTAAGCCTCTGCTGTTCCCCTCTTCCTTGCATAGCCGGTCATGGACTAGCCTGGAATGTAACTCAGAAGCATCTTTCAAAGTATATTTTATAATCTTAGTGTTTTGAAATATTTGAAAGCACAAATATGCTTCATGATCAAAGATGTTTGGAAAGTGCTATGGTATCTTGAAGATTCCCAGTGGATAATAGCATTTTAAAGGATCTGAGAAGGTCTGTCATAAAGAGGTTGGCCTAAAAAAATTTAGAATTATTAACCAAAAAAGTACTTTTTTCTTGTAACTCATTAACATCCCATGGAGCACACTTTGCAAATGTTCTTCTAAACTACCAATGCCAGGGACATCTTAAGACTGCCTTTGCCATGTACTGTCATGGCAGTTAGCATAATTAAGAATGGGCTCCCACATTGTTCAGGGCCTGCACCATTCTTTGCAGTCTGTAAAGAGAGAAAAGTCAGGATAAATATACTGAATGCAGCCCCAGTGCAGTAGTTCATTTGAGATCACGAGGGTTGGGGAAATGTGTTACAGCTGGCCCTTACAAGTAAGTACATCCAGCCTATCGTTTCCTAGGCATGGTAGGAACTAAGAGGGTTCACGCTGGGGGAAAGACAGCCTACAGCTGTAAGATCCTATAAATTGGAACGAGGAACCATCAGTCCAAGAACACATTGACAGTGGAAATATAATCCCAATCCTGGTTCAGAATAGGCTTTGGAAGCCAGTGGAAGTGGGATAGCAGCAGGGCTCTAGAAGCCAGAGTGRAAGTAATCCCCAGAGTGGAAGTGATTCTTTATGAGCAGAGAGGTGATTGGGGATAGGACCATCCCTTTAGGAAATGGGAACTGTACRGAGAGGTAGAGGGAAAAAGAGCTAAGCTAGATGCAGTATTTTTTAARAATATATTTAGTTGTCAGTGTGAACCTTTATTTAATTAGTTTATTTATATGTTGTGCTGTGAATCTAACCCAGTGCCTCACACATACCAGGCAAGCGCTCTACCACTGAGTCACAACTCCAGCCCTAGATGGGTATTTATATGCCCAAGATATAGATGAGAAAGCCAGGGTGGGAGAAGGGAGAGTTCATTGTCCAAGTCAATGTCACAAAAGTAGACTTTTAATTTGAGTCTAGGTCTATCTAATCCTATTCTCAGGACACCAGACARTCAGGAATGAAGTTTAGGGTAGGAAAGAGTGGTAGGTGAAAAAAAAAAATCTAATTTCAGTCAGGTTGGTAGGACAATGGATAAAGTTTTCCTTAGATGCTACTCTCCTCAAAAAAGASAGATGTCAGCTTCTTATTGCAAGATCCTTATACTCTTTTTGTCTCCCAGTTTWCCTTAACTAATGGTGGTCAAGGATTTAGTAACTTATGATAATAACTGACTAATTGATTAATTGAAACCATAATAATTAGTATGCTTTTTCCCCCAGGATGCCTTGCAACAGAGATTGACTCAGCAGGACACATCTGTTCTTCAGCTCAAACAAGAACTACTGAGGGCAAATATGGACAAAGATGAGCTTCAGAACCAGAATGTGAGTCAAATGTATGATCTCTGACCTCAGTGAGACCCCTTATTGCTTGTAGATCCGCCATCCTGATGTCCCTTTATCTTGCTTCTGAGATGCCTGCCTTCAGTGTTTGCAGTTATCTTTATTTCCCATCAGATTAATTTTTTTCCTAGGTGAAAGCCCATACCACACTGGGCAGGAAGGTCCTTGACCTCTTGAAGTTTGAGGACAGTGAGACAAAATTGTAGTTCTGTAGTCTGATTATCTTACTTAAAGACACAGAGAGAAGTGGTGTGTTTTTATCATAACTATGCCCTCTCTGTGCTGTATGCTGTAACTGCCAACATTAATGCTGGTTACCAAATAGCTCATTTCTAGGAAGGTTGCTGCACATGTCAGTAAATTCTTTATATCATCGCAGGTGGATCTGCAGAGGAAGCTGGATGAGAGGAACCGGCTCTTGGGAGAATATAAAGTAAGAATAAATATTGGGGAAAAAAGAATGAATATTGTTTTGGAAATGACTTCCACCTGACTGACCTTTTATGAATAGCCCATTGTTGCTGTTGCTCAAGGAACACTTAAGTATTCTGTTTTCATTCTTGTTTTCTGGAAGGAAATCTTTTTCTTTGTTCCTTGATTTACTGGCCCTGAAGAATAGATAGCATTCCCAGGAGGATCACGGAACCTGGAGTCTGGAAACTTCAGTTCCAGGTTTATCTTTGTCTTTAACTAGCTTGGATGGCACATGGTGGTCCTCTTACAAATGGTAGTTCCCATCCTCTCTTACCCTTCCTTTGCACTGTGTAAGGCTGTTGTGGTGTGTCACACCTTCCTGGTATATTGGGGAAAGGCCTGCCTGCTGAGGCTCTGTGTAATTGCATTACAGAGGATTTCGCTACACATCTGAAAGCACTGTCTCTATTACAGAAAGAGCTGGGGCAGAAGGATCGCCTCCTTCAACAGCACCAGATCAAGCTGGAAGAAGCACTCCGAAAACTCTCAGATGYCAGTCATCAGCAGGTCAGAACATACTCAGCTACTGGTTTTCCTGTCCCTTTGGCTTGAAGAAACCCTTTTTAAATTTAATYTCTGTTTTGCAGGTGGATCTAGAACGGGAACTAGAACACAAAGATGTCCTTTTGGCTCACTGTATGAAAAGAGAGGTAGATGAGGTAACCTAGAATTTTGAGTTTTCCCTCCCACATTTCCTGGCAAAGAGGGAGATTCTGTTTGTCACCAAGAGCTAAACCAATGCCACAGTTTTCTGAGAGGCTATATGGGGAGGRGGTTAAGAGTACAGGTTCCAAGATAAAAAAAAAAAAAAAAAAGCCTGGTTTCAAATTCCAGCTTTATTGTGTCTACACTGTGTGACCTTAAGATGAGCCCTAAGTGCAAGACTTATCTGGAAACTTGAAATACTACTGACATAATCCACACAACTAATATGGTTGTATTAAAGCAACCTGACCCACAGTCAGGTTCAAAAAATATTACACTGTTCTTATTTTGTTACAAAGCAAAGGGAGGAGGTGCTTGGAGTAGGAGACCCTCCAGTGACTGTGACAGAGGCTAATTTGTTGGCCTCCAGGCCAAAGTTTCCTTTCATTCATTCTACATCCACCATGCCTTGCAAGCATTGAGTACAACACTGATTTAGCAGGGAACAAAAGGGAAAATGCATTGGTGCTCGTGAAGCTTACRTTTTTACAGAGATGTTAAACAAATAACTATATACTCTGTCAGGAAGTGATAAAAATGTAAAGAAGAAAATTAAAACAGGGTGTCTTGATTCAGAACTTACCCTTTAACAGGCATCATTTCTTCTGGCTGCTACAGGTAACCAACTACAACAGTCACAATTCTCAAAGCAATGGTTTTCTCCTTCCAACAGCAGGAAAAGGAGCTGCTTCCATCACCCACAGAGGGGTAGGTTCCTAGGAGTAGAACACAGGCCTGCCACTTCTTGCTGAAACCAGAACAGTGTCCCAGCCATCCCCTATTGATGAGGCTTCTAGTCCCCTATTTCTTGCTTCTGATGGATGTGTAAAGATGTGAGGCACTAGGGCTGGGGTTGTGGCTCAGTGATAGAGCGCTTGCCTAGCATGTGTGAGGCACTGGGTTCGATTCTCAGAACCACATATAAACAAATCAATAAATAAAGGTCCATCAATAACTAATAAAAATTTTTAAAAAAAGATGTGAGGCACTAGCTAACTAAAATTAAGAATTAGTGGGCAAACAGTAGGCCTGTGTCTGAGGAGGAAACTTTCTTCCACAAAAATAAAAGATCTACTTCTCTCCTTTATCTTCTTAAGTCCAGTGGCTGGGACATGACTAATAATATGGTACTGTACTTTGGCAACAGCACCTTATTTTCATCCACAGACCAGTGACTTGCAGCTTGTTCGAGATGCTCTCCGCAGCCTGCGAAACAGCTTCAGTGGCCATGATCCTCAGCACCACACCATTGACAGCCTGGAGCAGGGCATCTCCAGCCTAATGGAGCGCCTCCACGTCATGGAGACACAGAAGAAACAAGAAAGGAAGGTAATTCTCTTGTTGCCATGTTTCRCTTAAGCAAGCTCCATGAGCAAGCTTGGTTTTATAAATTTTAATTTAGATGAAGGCAGCACTAAAAGATGAATATACTATGTATATAACCAGAGATATGAAAAATTCTGCTCTATATGTGTTATAAGAATTGTAATGCATTCTGCTGTTATATATAAATTTAAAAAATTTACGTTAAAAAAAAAGATGAAGATTCCAGTTGGTTTGCTCTTTGGTTTTCTTCTCAGTGGAAATGTATTCATCATGGTATGACAATCCAGGGAAGGAACTCTTCATGGTAACTCTTAGTCTTAGCAGCTGYATAGTTGTCTAATTGTGGCTTTTGACCGCATGATCTGTCTTTAATGCTTATTCTTTTTCCTTTTCCGCCATAATGAAATTGGTCTTGGATGAAAAAATATATGAGAAATGCATTGGAAGCTAGAAAGCTTTTCATAAATTGACACAACTATCATTAAGATAAGTGTGTTAAATTTTGTATTTTGTGGAAGAGGTAGTAGAAAAGTATATATTTTAGGTTTCCTTTTATGATTTAAGTTTCTTGGTTAAGTTCTTTCATTGATCATAACTTCTGTGATTTTTGTGTGGCTCCCCAGGTYTGGAGCAAGTCACCCAGAATGCAAGCAGGTAGTGAATACCGGGAATCCTGGCCCCCTAATTCAAGTAAGTACTCATCATGACTCTGTAGGAATTCCTAGCATCTTAGACCAGAAATTTGCTATTTTCCGTGCAACAATATTTAGGGGATAGATTTTTCTTGTGGTACTTTGCTTTTATGTTTTTCCTTAGCAGTGGTAGAATTGAGTTAGTTCTAAAACCTTGAGGGCACATATCATAATCATTGCCACCATCAACCCAACAGTCATTTAGGCACATGCAGGATGCTGCTGACTCAGAGGGGCTAGGATATCTGGAAAATATGCAAGTTCAACACATTTATGCCAAGCAAAAGCAAAATGGAAAACAACAAAGATACACATGTACACATACAAATCACCCTATAACCATAAATAACACATATACACACACAAGAAAGAAAAAGATCAATTTTCTCATAGAGTCAAGAAATTCAATTTCTTTGGGGGAATTTTCCTTAAAAGTTTTGAGTAATTAGGTCAATAAAATTTAAGTCCTGGAAAATATTTGCACCATCTAGTGTCCATAGCTAGGAATTACGTTTTAACCCTCTCCATGCCCACTCATTCTGTTTTTTTCCCTTAGATTCGCTTTGTTGGAAATCTACCTTGCCTGTCAATTTTTATTTTAGTTTACATCTTAACCTTTTTGCTTAATGATATTTACATTGTCTTATTTTTACTCAAATCCAAAACTAAACAAAAAAATTTATAAAAATCAAATAGTGAAAATTTGACTGGAACTGGTTTTCTATGTTATATATACAATTTTAAAAATCACATAAATTACTCAGGAGGTTGAGGCAGAAGGATCACAAGTTTGAGACCAACTGGGGCAACTTAGTGAGAKCCTGTCTTAAAATTTAAAAAGGACTGGGGATGTAACTCAGTGGTAGAGTACTTGTGTAGAATATACGAAACCGTAGGTTCAATCTCTACTACTAGAAAACAAAACAAAAAACACATTAAAAGACAGATCCTAAAGAAAAACTCTTAAAATATGTGTACAAATATTAAATTAAAATATTTTTGTAGGGCTGGTGTTGTGGCTTAGTGGTAGAGYGCTTGCCTAGTATATATGTAAGGCACTGGGTTTGATTTTCAGCACCACGTATAAGTAAATAAAATAAATGTCCTTTGACAACTAAAAATATTTTTTAAATGTCTATTATTAAAAAATAGTGGGGCTGGGGTTGTAGCTCAACGGTAGAATGCCTGCCTAGCACATGAGAGGCCCTGGGTTCAATCCTCAGCACCACATAAAAATAAATAAATGAAGGTATTGTGTCCAACTACAAATAAAAAGTAAATATTAAAKAAAATTTTTGTAGAGTTAATAAAAATAGCATTCTCGAGCCTCTGATACGTTTTTTCTCTTGGGTAAGGTATCTGTGTTGGGAATGAAACAAATTAATTTAGTCTCAAAATGAGTTTGAGTATCTTTTCCTAGTAATGCTTTGTAATAGTCATTTCTGTTTTTTTGAAAATATTCTAATTTTTTTGTTATCCTTTTCAGTATTTTCTCTAGGTGAGTGGTGTAAACTGCCAGTGTAAATATTTCTAAATATTTGGAAATTCTTTTTCAAAAATTCAATAAATTCCTCCCTCCTTAGAAAAATTCTTTTCTTTCACACATAGTGCTTATCAAAAACACTACAAACAAGTTTACAGTGGCTTGTACACTAGAGTGTTAAAAGTTGTAGTGATACTTAAGTTCACAAATAAGTTGAAATGTCTCTCATCTCATCAAACCAAAAACTTGTGTTACTCTGCTGTCCCTTTACTGACTTATTTCTCTTATTCTCCTATATCAAACTTCTTAAAATGATAGTGTCTACTTTTCTTTTCTTCCTCACTTCCATTCACTGCTTAGTCCACTAAGTTGACTTTTCTCAGTTACTCGACTTAATCTTCTTTTTCTTTCCTTGTGGTACTGGAGATTGAACCCAGGGCCTTATGCATGCGAGGGAAGCACGTTCCCAACAGAGCTATATCCCCAACCCCTTAGTTTTCTTTTTGTTGACTGCCATCTTGCTCACTGTCTTAATCAAGTGATCACTTTTCACACTTTGTCTTTCATTGTCCTGTTTTTTTCAATATTTATTTTTTAGGTGTGGATGGACACAACACAATGCCTTTATTTGTATGTGGTGCTGAGGATCGAACCCGGGTCCTGCCTGTGCTAGGCGAGCGCTCTACTGCTGAGCCACAATCCCTGCCCCTGTCCCGTTTTTTAAAACTGAGAAAAGTATACACATTTTTAATTGGCAACCTTTGCAGGTACTCATTGTCTTTCCAAAAGCATTTAATGTTCTTGCCTAGTCTCTTGGAAACATTCTTCTCCTTCAGCTTCAGTGTCAGCCAGTTACTTATTCAACAAATATTTGCTGAACATTCATTTTATATCATCAGTGTTTAACATTGGAGATATAAAATGAACAAGAGGAACTGCTTACTTGTTTTTGTTTTTGGTATCAGGGAKTGAACTCAGGGGTGCTTAACCACTGAGCTACATTTCCAGACCTTTTTTTTCTTTTTTTGTGAGATAGGGTCCCACTAAGTTGCTAAGGGCTTCTGCTGAGGCTGCCTTTGAACTTGTGATCCTCCTGCCTCAGCTTCCTAAACCACTGGGATTACAGGCCTGCGCCACCGCACCTGGCTTGGGTACTTGCCCTCATGGGACCTGCTCTCTAGTGAGCTAGATAACCCTGTTTTCTTTGCAACTCTCTGACTACTAAATCTTCTTGAATCTCCTTTCTCTCTCTCTTCTTCTTCTTCTTCTTTCTAACTCTTGAATGTTATATGTGCCCTTGGATTCCATTTGAGGCCCATACCTAGACCTTTTCAGATTCTCTTTAGGTGATCATTTTCTATGGCTTCAACTGCTCTTATGAACTGATTATTTTTAAATTTTATCTTTAATTTCCAACTCTTTTCTGAGCTTCAGGGATATATTTTTGAATGCCAGTTAGTTCTCTCTTTGCKGGTCCAAAGGACTTCAAACTTATGTCCACAAAACACTAAAGTAGGAAAAATACAAAATGTGCAATCAGACAAGCTTGGCACAGTGGTTCACACCTGTAATCCCAGTGCCTTGGGAGGCTGAGGCAGGAGGATTGCAAGTTCAATACCAACCTCAGCAACTCAGCAAGGCCTTAAGTGACTTAGTGAGACCCTGTCTCGAAATAAAAAATAAAAAGGGCTGGGGATGTGTCTCAGTGGTTAAGTACCCCTGGGTTCAATGCCCAGTACCAAAAAGGTTAAAATAAAATCAGACAGATCTGARGTATAACTTTGACTTTTTCACTTAGATTAGCAGAGTGTGTAACTGTGGACAAGAACGTCAATTAATGTTACTGAATCACAACTTTCTTGCTTATGGAATGAGATAAACTTGAAATATTTGAGAATTAAATGAAATATTATGTAGAAATGATCTGGTAAAGTGTGTGGTATATGAAAGATATAAAGTGAATGTTAAGTCTCAAAATACCTTCCTTTTATTGCCCCCTGGCTATGGCCTTTCTCTTTTTCATACCAACCAAATTTACTAAAAATTGGCCTTCTTTTTGAACTCCCTTCCTTTCTTACCATTTACTTTTTTTTTCCTTTTTCAATGCTTGATTTCCTCAAATTACTTAATACAATTTCAATCTATAGATTCTTAATGAAGAAAACGACAATCCTTAATGCTAGGCACTCCAATAGACATTATCCATTCACAGTAAACAATTCTAGATTAATTAATTTASTGCAAAAAATTCTAGATTAATTCTAAGCACTGTAAAACAAACTTAATTATGACAGGCTAGTGACAGACATTCCCTCTGCATGCTAAATTCAAATGTCATATCAAAAGTCTTAAGCCTTAGGCTTTAAGTCCAGCACACGCACAATCACTCAGACCGTGGTGATCAGGTTGGGAACCAAGGCAGGCTTTTCCTGGCTTGGAGTGGATGACTGGTTAAGGACAGGGTTGTAAGGAAGAGTTGCAGCTCTCACCAAGGTACAGATGAGGCGGTGGAGTTTGAGAGTGGTGAGGATCACACAGRGGCTCAGGAAATAATGACAAGTGATAGGATATCAGTCCATATCTCATCAGGCTCTCCAGCTTGAGTGAATCCTTATTTCAGCTGGCTGAATCCCTGTTCATTTGCTCTATTATTTATACTAAATTTTGGGGCTTTTACCACCCCCCCTTCAATCCTTATCAGCTACCACTGGATTTTTCCATGACATCATTTACCCTGGGGTCAGGTGGTCTCCACCCTGATCTTCTTGCCTTTTCCTTCTTATCAGGCAAGGACAGCCTACCTGGGGCATCACTCTGTTTATCAGGGTGAGAGGAAGTAACTTGTTTGAGGCATTACTGGAGGGCTCTGTGGATGTGCCTGGTGAGACTGAAGTTTTCAAACTGGAGTTTTTAAAATGGAGTTACTTAGGCTCAGGCCAAAAGCCATCCTCACCCAAAGCCTTATCTCAGTTAAGGCAGAGCTTGTACAAAACTTAGAATTGTTCTAGTTCTGAAGTTGATTTTTGTTTCTTAAATACCATTTTACAAAGTTTACATATATTGTTGCTTACCATTTACTCTTGAGAGAAAACAACAATTATCACATATTTTAAAAGGAATACAAGTGGTCATGATGGCATAGGCCCAGTGACTCAGGAGGCTGAAGCAAGAGGATCACAAAATCATTTGAGGCCAGCCTTAGCAGGCTTAGCAAGACCTTCAGCAACTTAGACCTGTTCTCAAGACCAAAAATTTAAAAAGGACTAGGGATATATATCAGATGGGTTTCATCCCTAGTGCTTTAAAAAAAAAAAAAAAGTAGTACAGTAAACTAGTGGAATGGAATTGAGAGTTCAGATAAAAACTCGTTTATCTCTAGTCAGTTGACCAGGAAATGGCACTGGAACAACTGGATATCCATATGAACTAAGGCCTCTACCATTCACCATATACAAATTAACTCAGAATGGGTCAGTGATCTAAAAGTATATGAGCTAAAACTATAAAACTTTCAG